TTTCTACATGATAACAATGCCTTAACGACTGAACTACAAATAAAAGTTTCAAGTCTACTTGTATTAGAAAATATGAATCCAGCATCTACCAATGCAATTTTGGTAAAACAACAACCCCTAGAATGAAGTTTCATTTCTTATTGCGAGAGAGGAAGGAATAAGAGATGACAACGCCTGAAGTTTGCATCAGGTATTTAAGTAAGCCATACTTGAGATAAATGTTGAATAATATGGGAGATTGTTTGGTTTAGAAACAAGACTGCAATCCCCAAAAGTACTGGGTTCTGAAATGGGATAAGCCAATGCTTTCTTTCTTTCTGTTATTAGGTACTATAAAATGACTAACTAACAGAGGACAATTTGTCTTTTACAAACGCCGTCTTCCTAGTGACTGAAACTGTGCTATTAAAGGCATATTATTCAGTTCTTAAAAAATATATAATGAAGCTCTATCTTGTAGCGCTGTGATTACTGTTCCCGAGCTGCATCATGCTGCTAGGATTTGAGGGGGAGGGACAATTGACCTCACAGTCTTCTCACCTTCTTCTAAACATCAGTCTCGAGGTCAAAAAAATAGGCAACTGTTTTCTGTTTCCAAAATAACTTGTGAAAGTTGGGTTTCATGAACAAACTTATTTTATCGTGCGGACTAAGGCCCATTATGATCAAGTCTGAGACATAGGTCTAAAGAAATAATACACTTTTCAGTTGTTTGTAAATGTTACCAGGATTCAAACTAATTCATAATTATAATGTTAATTGTGACGAGGTAAACCATCTGGGACTGATACCAAGAAAGTTAACACGAGAGTTATAAAAAAATATGAATAGTACTGTTATTTGTGTTTTTAATGTTTATTTATTTTTGAGAGAGAGAGAAGCAGAGAGACTGAGGTGAGTGGGGGAAGGGCAGAGAGAGAGGGAGACACAGAACCGGGCAGGCTCCAGGTTTCCGAGTTGTCAGCACAGAGCCTGACATGGGGGGGCCTGAGCTCATGAACTGTGAAATCATGACCTCAAAAGTCTGGACACTTAATCCGACTGAGCCACCCAGGCACTTAAAGAATAATATATAATACATTTTCTTACCTTGAGAAGATAAGCTCTGCACTCTAGAGATGTTACTTAAGTGTGTTTGCCTTAGCAACCAGAGACAGAAAGTTTAATCTACATAATTTTTCTATACAGAGTCTCCAAACTGGGGTTAGCAGAGAAGGGGAAAGTTCAGCCAGTCCCAGCTTGTAGAGACATTAATGTTCATAAAGAACCATACTCTAGAGAACTTGTAGAGCCGTGTTTTCTCTCTATTTCTACTTTAACCAGGGCATTCATTCTTTGATGGGAAAGAATTTAGAAAAAACAAAAGAGGTCACAAGGAAGGCTCTATAACACAGTCAAGTATTTTCAACCCAATCTAGAATTTAAGAAATCTTTAATATTTGTATTTAAAAGTATCAGGCTCTTTTGGTTTGAAGGGACAGAAATTCACTAAAATATCCTAAAAGCAGGCATTTATTGAAGGTTATTAGCCTCCCATGAATCCAGGAGCAGTGAACTACTTCAGACCTCAGGAGGGCAGGAACATGGCAGCTCTGTAGACTGGACCCGCCTCATTTCCATCTCCCTTCTCTCTCCTGGAAACAGTTCTGTTCTCCTCTTTTTTCCCAAATGGCCTCGCTAGCTCCTGCTAAACTTGGAGTGAACAGAGCCCTGTACGGCCATCCCAGAAGTTACTCAACGTGATTTTTTCAAATTCAAATACACTAGAAAAATGAGCTGGAGTTGCGCCAACTTTCCAACTGCAAATTGAGAGAGATATTTGACTGTCTAGTTTAACTTTCTGGGCTGAGTTTTAAGTCTGATATTGTTGGTTGTCTATAGATTGCTCCAGTCAAATGTCCACTGCTGAATCAGGCATGGTGGTTATTGAGGGAGCATCACATGAGAAAACAGAGCTGCTAAGAAGAGGCATGGTGCAATGCTTAGAACAGGTAGTATTCAAAACACCCAGAAAAAACGGCTACCAGATATGAAGTGAGTATGACAAACCAAGAAGAGAGATGAAAGGATAATAGGG